ATGTTTGCATATGGACACATGATGCCAATGAGAAGAAAATCAGGAAAGTCAAAGGCTTCCTCCCATATGCAGCTTTAATGGCACAACAGATTCTGAACCATTGATTTGAACTAGTTAATTTCATTCAAAGTCTCATTATAGATGGACATTGAAACGAATGACTAAATAAAAGAAAATAAAATTTTCATGCATCATTTCTTCTTTGCACAAAAACTTGAAAGGAACTATACATCCAAATATTCCACCAAATAGAAATAAAAGAAATATCAATAAATCAGAAGAATGAGAGTATGTGACGTTGGCTTTAACAAAAAGTAACAAAAAATTATTGACATAAAACCTCAAACTGATTAGAACATTTGAAATGAACGATCTCTTCAGCACTCTTTTCCTTTTGCTTCGCAGATGATGACACAAATGCCCTTGAAGAAGAGAAATGATGAACACGAGTGCTTCAGTTTAATTTTAAATAATTATTTTTTGGAATTTATAAGTACTCTTGATGTTTCTCAGTATTTGTTTTAATGTAAAAGTGATTTTCTTATGGTTGATTCCAGTGAGGATTAAGGGCTTTCACCTTTAGTTAATCCAACAATGATCATTGATTGGGATAAATCATGGACAATTAGGGATTTTTTTTTATTTTTTACCAATGACTAAGAATGACTTACAAGAAAATTTGAATAATAGTATAATTTTGTTAATTTTAATTATAATACTATGCAAATTTTATTATTTAGTTATGAAGTAAAAATTTATTAAAGACTTGGGTGTCATGATAGGCTGTGGTTCCATTTGAACACTTGAGGAATCCAAATTATTTATATATCCATTAAATGAATCTCTCCAATATTTAAATTTGCTTCATTTTGCTCTAGTTTTTTTTTTCTCAATTAGATGCTCCATAAAAATGTACTCCTCAATTTTTTTTTCCAAAATATTAAACAGATACCATTATTAAAACACAATTATACTTACTCAATGGTGCAACCATATAACCCGTCAATCATTTGATTTATGAGCTCAATCTCTTAGGATATAAGAGATAGCAATGGATCAAAGATGCATGCACAAATATTTAAATTTATGTAGTTCAGCGAGACTCATTTAAGTAGTTGTTTGATTGGCAACAAAAGGAGTGATTTGATTCCTTTTACAAGAGTTTTAAAATTTTAGATATTTGTTTAGAAGAAAAACAAATGCAGTGTAAAATTTCAACGTATTTAAAATTCTCTCTCTAGATCATTTTCAATGTATTTGAAATTCACTCTATTTGGGTGAATTTTAAATACCTTGCTTTGTGTAAAGTGATGCAAACACCCGCTCTTACAATTTGCCATTGCCTGCCACCACCAGCTGCCTCCCCGACCCTGCCCTCACTGATGGCTGCCTGTCGTTATCGCCACTCACCAATCACCACTGTAGGTTGTCAGTTGCCGCCTGCCTTGCCCCCACAACCCCTGTCAGCAGCCTCAACCTTTGTTCGTTGCCGTATGCCACCGTCGATCTTAATGAGTTTTTTTTTTTAATTAAATAATTTTTTCTTCAAACTAAATAAAAAATATAAAGTCTTGTATTTATTTTATAGTGAACTAAAAAACTACTGAAAAACTCTAAATTATTATAAATACAATACATCACTTCAACACTATATTTCTTTTTAAATTGCATTCTTTTTTGGCAAATCAAGCAACCCTTTAATATAATACTATATAGGGATCAAATAACGCCATTAAGCTTCAAAGGGATACACTAAGAATTTCTCTTCATGCACGAGGATGATTTAAAATTTTCACTGTGAATATGCACCCATTTATTGTCCTCGACAAGGAAAACATACACCTTAGGTGGTTAATGCTGAATAGTGCAAGTGAGGTATAGTTTATGTTCTAAATATAGAGCTAGCACTATCTATACAAAGATTTGAAAGCTTTCTTGGATAACATGTTAAAAATCATAAAAGACGATGTTTACTTGCTTGATTCAAAATGGTGCTAGTACAAGCATACAAGCATGTCTCTTTAAAGGAAAGAAAAAGAGAGCAATAATAATATGAACTGATGTGTCATCAACTAATTTTATCATTTTACATGAATTCTAGAGACATTTGGAATGGATCTCCGGGTATTTTTTAGAGAAATATTCTGATTCAAATTAAAAATCATCCCGAACTCCAATTTCAGTAAACTTACAGTCAAACAAACTATCTTGATGCAAGAAATCCAACGAGCTTAAGATCACCTGATTGATCATTAAGACCATCAAATCATCAAAAATTTTCCTATAATCAAGGAGAATCAACGTGGGTCATTTGATCCGGTTGTTATGGTGATTGTTCGCTAAAGGATGAAAATATCCCTTATCTAAGACCTATAAATAGACCCCCTCTGTCCAGGGGGGAGGACGAAGGAGAGAGAGTCCTCTAGCGGTGTTCTGGATTGAAGACCTGACGACAACTCATAATCTCCGTAGTTACCGACTATCACGCGTCAGCAGTCATCGGCCGCTACTGGCCACCCCCTGCTCGCCACTGTCACCATATATTGAGGATTAACAAAGTACTTTGTTAAGTGACGAAGCCTTCTTTAGATGGAGTAACATAGTGTTCTAAATACAGTGCAACGACGTACCCCAAACATGATGTATCAAAGACCAACGATAACTTTGAGAAGCAACTGCTTTCGATCATGGTACAACAAACCTTCCTGTATACAAACATTATACTTGGAGAAACCTTGCAACCCTTTCCTAGTTGTGGGATAAGGATTTATCTTTGTACTTACGGACTTATAATGAATCATTTCAATTGGGCTAGACCCAATGATTTTTTTTCCAATCTAGATTTCTTTCACGTAAAAATTTTTGATTTAGAACTAAATGAAAATATGACACTAAATAGGACGCAATGGAGAAAAAGGATTCATGTAGCCGACACCACGTAGTAGGATTAAGGTGTTGTTGTTGTTGTTGAAAAAATTTTGATGTCTAATTAATTTGTAAAAGGAAAGCTTGTTTATTGATTAATGACTTGGACATTTATAGAGTGTATATATTCTTGCACGTAAGTCCCTAGACTTATTTATATTCTCTATAAATCAATAAAACCCTAAACTATATACAATTCTCATCATTTCCCCTTAAGATGGGCAACAAATATACACTAAGCCCATCTTGTCACACAACCTAGATAGATCTAATGAGCTAAGTCTGTTGGGGAGGCAGTCAGCTACTTGCTCTCTTGTAGCTACATGACTTATCTCTCTAGCAGTCCACTATTTAGTTTCTCCTTGATAAAGTACCTGTCAATCTCCACATGCTTGGTTTTGTCGTGCTTCACCGGGTTGTTTGTTGATTGTTGACTTGTTGTCGCACCACAACTTCATTTGAGCTCCTTCGTCAATAGAGCTCTCAGCCATAACAGCTCGACAACTTTTAAGGCCACGACCATGTCCTCTGCGTGTGTCGTTGACCTCGCAACTACGGTCTGCTTTTTGCTCTTTCAAGAGTGAAGAGACCAAATTACTCCCACTAACATGCAATATCCTATAGTAAACCTCCTGTCATTAACATAACTAGCCAAAGGAGAGTTGCAGTAGTCCTCAATGCCTAAATGACCATTCTTCTTGAAGATCAATCCCTTCCCTAATGCACTCTTTAGGTACCTCATAATATGTTATACTACATCCATGCGGTCCTTCATCGGATCATGCATGTAGCGATTCACCATGTTTACTGCAGATGATATGTTAGGACGAGTGTGCTTGGATAGATGAGATGACCTACTAATCTCCGGTACCTCTCACGATTAACCACCTCTTCTGCCTCTACGCTCAACTTTCTCTTCTGATCAATTGGTAAAACTACAGGCTTGCATCCCAACATGCCTATTTCTGTGAGCAAGCCTAGCACATACTTCCTCTGAGATAGAACAATCCCTCTACTCTACGAGCCACCTCAATCCTAAGAAAGCATCTTAGCTGTCCCAGGTCCTCACCTCAAGCTCTTTGCCCAAACTTGCTTCAGCCATTCGAAGCCTTCACATGATCCCTGCTCTGATACCAAATTGATTATAAATGAAAAAAAAAACCTTGTTTATTGATTAATGACTTGGGCTTTTATAGAGCCTATATATTCTTGCACATAAGTCCCTAAAATTCTCTGTATTCCCTATTACTCAATAGAACCCAAAACTATATACAATTCTCAACATGTCTCCTTCTAATTATTTTATTATCTGTGTGTGTTGGATTTCATACAATGACATTAAATTATTACTCAACTGCCACAAATTTTCTAGCATGTAACAAGAATATATTATAACAATAAATATTATAGATTCCTATTATATTTATTTCACATGTGATAATAGTGATATCATAATTTTATTAAACATTATAATTCAAATCACACTTAAGAGATTGCTGCACATTTTTTCCTTCAAAAAGACAAGCCGAGCCAACTTCTTTTGTTGTGTTGAATAAAAGCTGCACGCTCATTCTCATTGTCTTTCATTGCTTTATTTAAAGTGATACAGATATATCCTAAAATTAATTACAAGATTCTCATAGCTCAAAAAGGTCACAACAATCTCTAGCCAATGATATAGATTTATCAAATGTTTGTTTTGATGAGACGGATCAACCAATTATTTTGAAAAATCTAATGTAGAAAATATATTGGATCTACACATTTATATAGATCCAACTTAATTGCAAATCAGTTAACATCTATGTTCCGGTGGTACATCACAGTTTTTTCATAATTTTGTTAGCTCATCCTTTTTGGCAACCAAGCACTCCTTTATATATTTCTGGTTATACAAAGTGAAATTTTCACATTTTAACGGTCCTGACAAATTCCAGTTGGTTAGGCCTTCTGAATAAGGCTTCAAATCTTTGCAAACTTTTTAATGTATGTTCAAAAACATTGTTCCGAAGTCTGAACAATTTCAGCTTCTTAATTCTTGATATTAATCTGTTCTTTTGCCATAACACTTGCAGAGTTCTCAGTAGGCTCAACTGTGTTGTGGCCCTTGTTGGACAATGCATCTCCTCTACAACATTTCATGCCATTCAAGACTCAGCAAGAGCAAAAGTTCAAAAATTTCTTATTTAATCTGATTCCAGCAACTGAATTTCAGCATATTTCTCAGAAAGCTCACATTGTACTAGCTTCTCGGGTTCCAAGTAGTTTTATCTTAATTTCTTACACCATTTTTAAAAATCTTTTCACATAAATATTCATATATTTCAACATTCTGCCATTCATGCTTGCCAGAACCAAGGCATGAATATAAACCACCAGCCTTCGGGATCAGATGCTTTAAAAAACACCCCTTTACTAGGATCTAAGGTTGGAGCCATCTTTCCAAGGCAGATATTTTCTTTTGGATTTTTCAAAAAATTAATTCCATTGCTAATGTTCTTGATGAAATTCTTGAAGAAATTAATCTCTGTGTAAAATGTTGAAGCCTACCACAACCCCTGCGCAGCTCAGAATGTTTTATGCTGGTTCAGTTAATGTGTATGATGACATCCCATGTGATACGGTATTTGATATAACATTTTAGAGGAAAGTGTCCAAATGGTCCTCTCATTCTTTGCCGGGGATTGGTGTAGTCCCAAAGTTTATAAAAGTGTCAGTTTAGTGCTAAAAAATTTCAAATATTGGCTGAATTAGTCTTATGGGAGGAATATTTCAGCATTGGACAATTTTGCAGGGCAAGTAGCTGGATGCCCTATTCATGGGACAGGAAGAAGTCAGATAAAACTGTTTGATGGGATAGCAGCTGCTCATCTGCTCGGATCAGTATTTCAACAACTGTATCCAATTTTCTATATATATATTTACATACATGCATGCATGCATGTCAAAATTCTTATGTATTTATATATACAACACTCAAGTTTTTAATATTACATAAAACATATCACTATTGCTAATTTCTTCAAAGGGAAACACATCTTTTCATGCATGGGTTTGACACGAAAATGGGGTGAAGTCACGAAAACAAATTTGAGACATCTGAAGTAAAATTTTGTACAAACATAAGGAAAAAAAAACACATAAAGTATAAGATTTAATGTGGAAAAACTCCGAAAAAATTATGGAGTCGCATCACATTAAACAAATTCAAAATTATTATAAATGTAAATATCAAACTTTTAAGTATTAGACATGTAAATATATAAAATGTGATTGAAAATAAATTTAAACACGACAAACTTTCAATTTCCATTGACTTACACTTACATGCATGATAAGTCAAAGCAAAATTTTATTTTATTTTATTTTAAAAAAATTAAAGAGTAACCAAATAAGCCCTAAAAGAATGCAAAATGAGTCGAATTCAACTTGTTCTCAGCTTTTGATTCAAGGATGAAACCCCATACTTAGGGTATGTTTGGAGCAGTTTATTTGGTGCGGTGACGTTTTGAAAACACATTTAGCTTGTTTGGGTAAATTGTGTTTTGACAGCTTATGCATTTTCAAAACGCTAAAAATAACGTTTTCACATCGCACCTATCTAGGTGCGGTGATAGCTTTCTGATAACGATTTGCCTTTTTAAAAAAAATCAAAATTTGTAATAATCACCACACTTAATTTATGAGTAGGTCATTTTTAATCAGCTTATCAGCTGATTATTCAATAAGCTGCAGCTGCCCCAAACAGACCCTTAAATTTTTTTGGAAGAACATATCAAACCCGAATTTTCAACCAAACGCATTATGAAGGATAATGTTAATTTAAATAGACAAGCCGGCCTTACTTAATTCAGGAGAAAATTATCTATTAGTTCCAAACCTCTCGCAAATTTACATTTTTATCCTCTTTCTATCATTTTTTTTAATAACTTAGAAATATACTAATATAAATATTATATATTCATATAATATAAATTATATAATTAATATAAGATATTATTTAGATATATTAATATTAGAGATGTCAAACCGGCTCGTCGTTCATGAACAGCTCGTGTTTGACTCGTTCGTTAAGAAACGAACACGAACAACGAGGTCAAGAACAAACAATTTCAAACATGATTTTATTTCAAACAAACTAAATTTCAAACAAACCAAACACGAACACAAGCTCTGCTCGTTCTTGTTCGGTTCGCTCGTTCTTGTTCAGTTCGTTTACACCTCTACATTGATCTCAAGCAATTCGTCAGTCGGCCATTCAAAATAATTAAGAAAAGACTAATTATTTTATACACAGCACTTACTAATTAAAATTAAAAAAACGCATTATTTCAAATCAACGCCGAGTTTGATGACTGTGTTTGGTTATCGTTACAATAACTTTTACAATTAATTATAAGAAATTATTATCCTAATTTTAGGTGTAACTGCAATTTTTTTTAATTTAATTGCAAAAATTTACTGAAAAATAAATTTATAGAAATTAGAGCAGGAATAAAATTATTATTTTTTTTAATTTTAGGCATCTTTTTATTAATTTTGATTGAAAAAATTAGCTTCCCAATAGAGAAATTTCTAAAATTCAACAAACAATTAAATCCCTAATTGAATTTGTGATTAATGCCAGATATACAACGTTGACAACATGATTAAAAATAAAGTCATATTATAATTTTATTACAATCACCATATTTTAATAAATTTAATTGTAGAAAATAATTTCCAAACACAAAAATGTCTAAATGTCAACAAAAAAAAAAAAATTTCCTCATTTACGGTTTGTTTGGGGCAGCTACACCTTTTTAAAAAGTTTCTGTAAAACTGTTGAAAAATAATTTGATGCTCAAAAAATTGCGGTGAAGTCAGACCACAACTAGAAAGCTGTCACCGCATCTAGACATGAGTGGTCGGAAAATGCAGAATTCAGTGAGAGTTTTTTGAAAAAAACTGTCATAAACCCCCCCCCCCCCACCCACTCGCTCTCAACTGTCCTTCTTGCAAAAATCATAAAAATAAAATTAGTAATATAAGATTTCATTATGATTTTTTAGCCCAATTAGTGTTCATATTAACTTCTTAATATGAACACTATAATTTAAACAAAGTCATCTAGAATTAGATATTTCAAAATTACAATAATATCAGGTACATCAACTTTCAACAACAATTATTTTTTAATTAGATTTACAGACTCATAACTGACCCAAACGGCCCCTAAGCATCAACAATTAGGTTAAATGAATGTCATCATCATAGATTTAATATCTGCTTAATTAAATTAATTATGTTAATGAAAAATATGACTTTATTATAAAACTTGCCGACCTTGTAATTAATAAATAATTGATTTCCTAATTTATATTTATTTTGTTTATTTAATTAATAAAATTAATACTGACCAATGTTGAACATTTACATAGTGCCTAAGGGTTGTACATCATATCAAAACTATCACTATTTTAATTTTTAAAATGTGAAATACATGAAACTAGGCACTGTTTTTATTGATATATAGTTCATTTGTATTTACACATCGAACACCTAAATTTTGCTTTTTACATATATAACACTTAAATATTTGTATCACATAAAAAATACCATAAGTTCAACTTCCAAATGGTCCTTTCATGCATAGATAAGGTGGCAGGCATATAAGTGAAAATTGAAGTTTAGGTGTTAGATATGTAAATACATAAAACATATGTACATTTTAAAAAGGGATATTTAAAAAAAAAAATGTAAACAAATTTTAAATGATTTTTGTGACTGTATTCTTTTTCATAAAAAAAAAAAAAAAAAAAAAATTTTTTTTGTTTCAAAAAAAAAGAGAGGAAAAAAGACCATTCAAACCTATGGATTGAGAAGGCTTCAAAGGACAAAGTAAAGATAATCCATCCTTCCACAAAAACTCTAGAGATCTTCCTAAATGATAACTCTTTTGTGGAAGATTGGCATGCATACCCCTTAATTCCTATGTATTTACATCAAAAATTCAATTTTTACATACATAACAGCTTACCCATGCATGAAAAAGTGTATTTCTTGCATAGAACACCATGATTCCATCACAACAGAGAGTGAAACTTAATGATCATAAAAGCTCATTTATTTTTTTATATAATTATCATACATATAATATATATGCAGAAAATGTCATTCAATTATATATATATATATATTAATTACATAGAACACCACCTTATAACCTTCTTTCACAAAAACTCTAGAGATCTTCCTAAATGATAGCTCTTTTGTGGAAGATTGGCATTCATACCCCTCAATTCCCATGTATTTACATCAAAAATTCAATTTTTACATACATAACAGCTTACCCATGCATGAAAAAGTGTATTTCTTGCATAGAACACCATGATTCCATCACAACAGAGAGTGAAACTTAATGATCATAAAAGCTCATTTATTTTTTTATATAATTATCATACATATAATATTTATGCAGAAAATGTCATTCAATTATATATATATTAATTACATAGAACACCACCTTATATTTCTAATTCCATTGAGAAACATTAGAAGAATCTCATGTCTGTAACATCTCAATAATGATAAAAAAACAGCAGTCTGCAACTATAGGAGAGGAAGACGGAAGCCATAAGCAGAAGCTTCAGCTATTCAAACCACTCTGAGGAAGATACAGAAAAAAGATTTATGTAATCCAATTGATTCAGCTATCTTTGTTGTATTTTGCGTTTTTTGCCCCGGATTCTGTATAAAATTATATTAATTCAATATTAATCTAACTTATGCGATTATCTCTGCTGGCATTTCCATGAATCTCGTTCGTTTCTGAAAAACAAATTAATGGTCCAATCGAAGAGGTTAGAAATTCTGCTATTTATGAGAAATTTTAAAAAAAAAATGGTGCAAAAATGAAAAAAATAGATAAATTTTGTGCTGAACAAATTAAATGATGCAGAAATATATGAATATTGACTGAAACATGTGGTTATGACTTCTTAGTAATCAAACAAAATTTCTAACATAGACCAAAGGGGCAACAAGAGAATAAATCTTATATTCTCGACCGAAACATTCATTTTTTTAGTTTTATAACGAGTAAATTATCATAATTGTCCCAAAATATTTACATGGAGCTGTTTTAGTCCCAGAGTTTATAAAAGTGTCAAAATAGTTCCCAGACACTTTAAATCAAGGTTGAAATAATCCCCAAGAAGGACAATTTTAAAAGCAGTTCAACTTTGTTTTAACATGTAAATAAAAAAAATAGATGGATGGGGGATGATGTAAATTGCATATTGTTTTCTCAGATCAGGAGAGTTGAACTCACAATTCAATGAAAACCAGCAGGCAACTATTCAAGAAGACTTTCATGGATGCTCTAGACATATAGAGGTCATGAGGATTAGGGTATAAAATTTATGTAATAATTGACCTATGTGAGAAAAAAACCCCCTAATCCAGGGATGCAGTTGATTTTACCCAAATTAAATTTCAAAATATATTAAAAAAAGGAAAAAAAGGCATGATTTTTCTAATATAGCTTATAAATGACAAGTCAAATCTAAATAAATCGGGAAAGTTGAATCCTAATGACAACTAAGTTAAAAATTAGTGAATAGAATATGTTCTGAATATAAGCCTCTTAATTAGAAAAAAAATCATCTACCAATTCCTCCACAGACCTTCCACAGACATCACAGGAATGTAGAAAAATAAACAGAAAAATAGGTAATATTTTGAATTATATGAAAAATTAGAAAAAAAAAAGTTAATTTTCCCTACTAAAACTGAAAGAAGTAAATTTTATGCATATTAAAAAATTAGATGAAGATAAGGCCAAACAGAAGAAAAATTTGGAAAAATAAGACCTAGTCATTGAAAGCAACCCAAAACTATGCATATCAAAGTCACAAAATAAAAACAAGAAATCAGATAATAATTGAGAACTCATCAGTATACGAAACATATCCATGAACTCTTTTGGTCTTCTAAAACTGTTTGAAAAGTTGATATAGACATCTGCCTTTAAATGGTTTTTTAGGACCTCACGGTTCTTTCAAGAAAAAAATTCCAAGGAAAAACTATAGTTTTACAGATATAGACTACTTTTCAATGCAGATTTCATGGAGTTTTAAAAGTATATCATGACTCAGCTGTTTCTAGAAAATAGGATTTACGTTGCATGGCATGAAGATATTTCTCAGTCTAACATGATGACCCTTGAACAGAACCAAGACCAAGGCAAAATAACATCATAGTCAGCATTATTGTTGACAAAACTTTAATGAAATAAAAAACATTATGTTAGGGACTATAGATAGTTAGATCAAGGCAACACCTTGGATGGAAGAAATGAATTTTACACGCAAGATATATTCTGAAGATTAGAAAAGCTATGATCGCAAACTCTATTCTATTGAAGAGAAAAAAAGGTTTTTCAGAGGCAAATTGTGAAAGAAGTTTGAGTATCCTTCAAATTTCCCACCCATAGTTTTGGAGCAAAAGCTAATTTATGGTTCACAATATTTTATTATATTTCTGAAAAAAAGGATTTTTAAGCAAATTTTGAAAGCAGCCGCCCAACTTTCTTCACTATAAAAGACATCCAGTTGCTTTGTTACAGTACAACAACAACAACAACAAAGCCTTAATCCCACTAAGTGGGGTCAGCTTTGTTACAATAACAAAATAAATAAAAAGTTGAATTAAATGAGATCCCAAACAATATACAATTCCTTTAACGGCTTACCCCATAAACAAAAGGTAAAAAGCTACAAGAATTAAAAAAAAAAAAAAAAGGTAAGCATTTTGTTAATTCCAATAGATTTTGGAAAATTTACATACCTAGTAAGTAATTCTTATCTATTTACATATCTCACAACTAAATTTTCATATTTACACACGACACTTTGGTGCTTTAAACCTATGCATGAAAAGATGTATTTTGAGTCCTATGCATGTAAATATGAACTTTTAGGTATGAGATGTAAATGCATAAGAATTGTGTGAGATGTATGTAAATTTATTCTTTTTAGGTATGAAATGTAAATACATAAGAATTGTGTGAGATGTATGTAAATTTATTCATAGAGGCTTTTGAAGCAGATATCACAGAAATAGAGAAGCGCTTACTTCCAAAAAAAATGGTAGGTCAGCTCTCTCATATCCAATACTTCCAACTTTTCTACTTAACCTTCTTAATTTATTAAAAAATCATTATAAAAAATGGGCGGTGGGTGATTTTCCATTGAAATATCTTTTGATAACATGTTCATGTTGGGCAATCAAATGACAGATGATTAATGAGCAAATGATTCCTCCAAATATTTAAAAATAATAAATCATTATCCAGTATCAATCAGTAATGTCTCCTATTTGCTAACTATTCATTGTCTTATTTATCAGAGTTACATGATCACTTATATGTTTTTTGTAAGTAGGTGCTGCTGAAACGCTTAGAAAAAACAAAAGGTCAGCTTAAAAGCACCAAAACTACAATAAAAAAAAATGACAAGAAGATCATCATCAACTAAAGAAAAAAATTAAAAAAAAAATCACTCTTTTGTGGGCGGATCTTGAATTATTAGAAGCCTAAGTTATTCATCTATCAGACCAAAATAATTTAAGAAATTTAAGCTCTTTTCTGAAATATTAGGAATTTCTTAAGCGATGAATATGAGAAAAAGCAAGGAATGAAAGAAAGTTCGTTACTTGACCATGAATCTATTGTCATTTATTCCATAGACTTTCTTCTCTTTTAAGTTACTTTAACAGTATATTTATTGCTATTCATATTAAATTTTTTTTTTTTATAATTTTTAGTGCTATAGAAGTTAGAAATAAAGTAAATTTTGTTTTTTGATCTTGAATCTCTCTGACCCGCTTCAAAAGTTAGTTCTTTCACCAATTCCTCAGCAGTAAAACAGAGCCAAATGACTCTCACCTCTCCTAAAAAAACTTACCACACATGTCTAAGCCATGAATCTAACATTTATAGCTGAAAGCTTGAAATTTTCAGTCACCATTGTTACTGTATAGAATCCGCACCTAGAAGAACTTAAACTAACCAAAGTTTTACTTTTTCCCAAAAAATAGAAAAAAAATTCAGCAACAATATTCCCATTCTATGAAAGTCCAAACTTTTACCTCCTTCCTCGCAACCCCCGGCGTCGGCGGCCCCTGCGTCGACCTCACAGAAGCAGCAAGCTCCACAATCTTCCTCGTAATCTCGCCGGCATCCTTACTCTCCTCCAAAAGCCTCGCCACCTCCGCTTTCGGCAGCCTCATCCTCAACCGCATGCTTCCATCCGGCGATTTCTCCGCCACCGCCACCGCCGCCGCCTCCGCCGCCGGCCTGTGATGCATCGCTAGGTCTGAAACGGCACGCCGCGACAATAAGAGCGACTCGAGTCTGTCCTTCGCCGACACGCGAAGGTTTCCAGAGTAAGCGCGGCGGGGATTATTATCGGCGGGGAGGGGGGGGGGATGGACGAGGAAGTACAGGTGGCCGGCGCGGATAGGATCGCCGTTGGCGAGGGGGCGAGCGCGAACGCCGAGCGTCTTCACCTCGTCAGCGTCGAGGACGGAGAAGCCGGGATGGTTTTTGAGAACGTCGCCGGCGGAAAGAGGGGGCTTTAGCCGGAAAGTAGTACCGTCGATCTTCATCACCTTCGCGGTTTTCTTTTTTCTAATCCCTAAGCTGTTTCCCATTCTCTTCTGCAACTCGCTGCCCTTCTTCTTCTATAAAGCTTTACGTTTTCTGTTATCTTTCGCTGTTGATCTTTGCTAAAAAGGGGGAAATGAAGGTGGTCAAAAGTAGGAGCGGGGATGAGAAGACACAAGGTTGGGGAATGGATTTATACTCTTATTTTTCTATTAAAAATATAAATATTTGTAATTAGAAGAATGCCGTTTGTTTGTTTGTGGTTGAACTATGGAAGGTTGAATTGTGAAGTAACTAAAGTCGTACTTGTATTTGTTAATAATATTATTAATATTTGTGTAATGATAAATTTACACATACGACAATCTTTATGAAAGTTAACGATCGAATTTCAATGCGGGTTAGTTGAAAATCGATTCGAATAGATTTGAGATATGTTTGGGCAACAACAGCTTATCCATATAAACAGTTTATCTTAATAATCTGCTGATCAACAACTTATCTGAATAAGCTTACTGATACTTTAGTGCGTGTATTTGTAAAACATATGATTCTAAATAAATGATCACTATACTGATATGTTAGATAAGTTGTTTAGTTTTTTTGTTTGTGTATTTGGAAAACAACTGATTCGTAGTTTTTTTTTTTTTTGATAAATGAACAATCTGACACACAGCTCACACACCCACCGCCAACTCACGCACCTAAAGCCAGAAGATCACACCAAATCCATCTCACACATCCACCACAACCAATCCACCACACACAAGCACACCTCACACACCCATCGCCAACTTACACACCCAAAGACA